TTTTGCACCGTTCGACCCTGATGCCTGAATCTGGGCAGCTGCAGCACAAGACATGGCACCTGCTGCGTCAAAGCATAAATTGCATTTTGCTCATGCCATTGGGCGAATTCCTGCAGCGGGCCAGGCAACGCTACAGGATGCAGCAAGTTTCCCCTGTCGCTTGTTTGAATCGTCCCCGCTACCTCTCGACGAGCCTGCCAAGCCCCCTCACAACTCAGGCCTGGCAGCAGTCTGGCAACTGCGTGCGAATGAAACTCTGCTGCGTGCTGTTGCTGGGGATTGGGCCACCCCAGCAGGTGGTATGCAAGAGTCTGGAAGACGGGCCTTACGTGGACCTGACCAAGATTGTTCGGAACCCAGGCAATTTAAGATGGCGCCTGCTGATGGCCAAACCCCAAGTTGCAGCAGCACCAATTGCTGGCATTCGGCAATCATATGTGCCCCAAGACATTTCTGCGCGGCTGCATTACATGCGCCGAAGCAGATCCTGAAGCTGCACTGCAGCGGGCGACATTTGTTGGCCCTCTCTTTTCAATGAGCCTGAGCACTGGATGCCCGCACATGAAGCGTAGGCTGTCGTAAAGCTGGTCGGCCCGAAGTGTCACTTCGATGTGGATGATGGCCACATTTCCCTCCATCTGACACTGGAGATTTCTTCGCGAGTGGCAGCGATGAAGGGTCTGTGGAGTCTTGAAGCTCCCGGAGATTGGCCAGAACAAGCTGTGTTGCAGCAGTGTCCATTGGCGGTTTCCCAGAGTCTGGGACGAGCATGTGTTGCTTGGCGCACCACTGCTGGTACACCCCGTTTCCCTGACTGGTCCATGTGGCCCTTGGCTTGCATCTTGGCCTGGTGGCCTTCCTGCGCAAGCATCTCGCCGGTCCATCAGCATGTCGCTTAAGACTGAGGGTGGGGGTCAACGCTCGTGCGCTGAGGTCGATTGCCAGTGCTCCCACCTGATTCCATTCTGCCTTATGCGGCTTTTTCCAATGAGTTTTGATCGCCTTGCACCTTTGCATCAGTACTTGAGCCAGGCGCAGTTTGGTAAGTAATTTGGCCCAAGACAGCGGTCGTGCCTCACCGATGAGCGCTTCCATTTGCTCCCGAACACTCGTCGGCAGAGAGTCGTCGTCTTCCTTTAGCGTTGGGAGATTAGAGGCAACACAGGGTTGGGTGAGGGGCAGGTCAAGTGAGGGCCTACACAAATCTTCAGGCACACTTTCTTGTGCAAGAGATTGGTCGGACTTTGCAAGCTGCTGCAGACGCAAGCCTGGGCAACCCAGGTCGTGCGCATGTCGACGGAATGTTTGCCACCTGGCAAAGAGCTTTTGAAAATGGATGCGCTGTGGCATGATCCAACGCGCCTGGAGCGAGTTTGTACTCAGGATGCTTTTTCGCAATGCGCTGAAGTAGCGAAGTGTGCGACCCATAGTAAAGTCCACAATTGGGACAGGGGTAGTCAGGCTCTGCCCTGTGCTGCAAGCCCGGCACTATGCGTACATAGTGCGCCACGATGACCTGGTCAGCATGAGCAGGGCCTACCTTCAAGTCTGGAGCTAAGACTTTGGCTGCCCGATTGGAAATGGTGATGATGGGGTCCGTCAGTCCTAACCGAAGCAAGAGGTCAGCATTTGTTTCGCGTGTGAGATGCACAGGAGATTTAGCCAAGGGCGCGTGCCTGCCTGTGGTATTCATGACCCCCTGCGATGACTCCTTGCAATGACTCCTTGCACTGACTCCTTGCAATGACTCCTTGCAATGACTTTCATGATGATGATTCCTTGCAATGACTCCTTGCAATGACTTTCATGATGATGATTCCTTGCAATGACACCTTGTAATGACTCTCATGAGAACAACTCAAGTGAACCCAGCGGAAGAACCCATCGCCATGCTTTCGGGAAAAGAAAAAGAAAACTGCTCAAAATCCCAGAAAGTGGCCCTAAACATGTGATACAAATGTCTGCACAAAAAAGAACACTGCTCTAAATCCCAGAAAGTGGCCCAGAAAGTGGCCACATGTGATACAAATGTTTGGGCCCCAAACACGTGATACAAATGTCTGCCCAAAAAAAAAGAAAGAAAACTGCTCTAAATCCCAGAAAGTGGCCCCAAACATGTGATACAAATGTCTGCCCACAAAAAGAGAGAAGAAAACTGCACACAATCCCAGAAAGTGCCCCAAACATGTGATACAAATGTCTGCAAAAAAAACAGAAAACTGCTCTAAATCCCAGAAAGTGGCCCCAAACACGTGATACACATGTCTGCAACAAAAAGAAAACTGTTCTAAATCCAAGAAAGTGGCCCCAAACATGTGATACAAATGTTTGGGCCCCAAACACGTGATACAAATGTCTGCCCAAAAAAAAGAAAGAAAACTGCTCTAAATCCAAGAAAGTGGCCCCAAACATGTGATACAAATGTTTGCCCAACAAAAAATGAGAAAACTGCTCAAAATCCCAGAAAGTGGCCCCAAACATGTGATACACATGTCTGCAAAAAAAAGAAAACTGCTCTAAATGCCAGAAAGTGGCCCCAAACATGTGATACAAATGTCTGCCCCAAAAAAAGGAAAACTGCTCTAAATCCCAGAAAGTGGCCCCAAAGATGTGATAAAAATGTCAGCCCAAACAAAAAAGAAAGAAAGCTGCTCTAAGTCCCAGAAAGTGGCCCCAAACATGTGATACAAATGTCTGCCCAGAAAACAAGAAAATTTCTGCCAAAAACATCGGGGGTTGGGCTAAGACCCAACATTTTCCCAGCCCGGCAGATTCCGATTTTCCGGTCCTTCGCCACCACCACCCGGCCGGTGCCGCGCTTGCCCTTGCCCACCTCAGGCGAGGTTTGGTCAAATGGACCCCGCCGCTGGGGCAAACTGGTTGAGACCACCTGTTGTCATCAACATACTTGGTATAGGGGAAATACAAACACGACGACACAGTCCTAAAACAAACAACAACACAGTCCTTAATTAAAAAGGTATGTATATGTATATTATATATAACAAAACAAAAGCACAGTGCTTTAAGACGCATGTATAAGTCACCTTGGTTTATAGTTAGACAAACTTGTAGCCACCTTGCAAGTTCGACAGGCATGAGTTGGAACCCGAATTCCCCGCTGAACCATCCCTGGTGGTTTCCTTTTGGGGGATTCCCTTGTGATTCCATACTCACAACCAGCAAGTTGAGTCACCACGTAAAATGCATGCTGGCTCTACCGCATGATACAACCTTGCCTTTCAAATGACAAGGACATCCTTGATGTGAATGATCCTGTTTAAACCGCTTTTGTTTGAAGGATCTGTTTGTGCTTCCTTTCAAAGGCAGCCAGGGATGCGTGCCAAATTTGGCAGACCCCTCCGAAGTCACCTCACAAAATTGGGAGGGGGGGGTAACCACCATGTCACATGTCACTGCACGGGCAAAGACCGCCTCACTTCCTGGATTGAGAAAAGGTCTGAACTGGTTTTCAACTAATTAAAATCCGGGTTTTTGCCGACCCGCTTTGAGTCCCTCTTTCATTCAAAGGACAGGGTCCGGTTCAACACAACATTTGCCCAACCCTGCTCAAGCGGTACCCCCGAAAAGGGGCCGAAGAACAGGAACTCGGGAGTGCGCATTCTGGTGGCGGTTTGCGGCTAGTGGCAACCCTCTGTGGCGATGCAGTCCTGCAAATCATGGAACCAAACCAAAGGATCTGCTCACTTCTATCCAGAGGACCCAAGGACCTTCTTTTGGGGGGCTTGACCAAAGGCAAACAACCACCTTTGATCGAAAGGTTGAAATTCGCATTCGGCAACCGAAGCTGAAAGTCTTTGGTCAATGGCTAACATGTGGCAAGCATGTTAATAAGCAAAAGATTCTGACTGAAGCGAGCAAGGCAAAGGGAAACGGTTTAAGCTGGGATGAGCGACAGAAGTTCAGGGGAAGGGGGATATGGTATGCTTTGTTAAGCAATTGACTTACTTGATTGGCCAGAAATGGTCAAACAAATTTGTGCACCACTAAAATGGTCTTCCCAAAAAAGAATAAGTGAATGAACTCATGGAGGGTTTTGGATGCTCTTGCTGGTGTATTCGCGTCGGCGGCGGTTCGACCTGGCTGGACATCGTGCCCGATAACAGTATCATTCAGTGGATGTTTCGGCAAGTGATCATCCTCCAGACTTTGTTTTGAATTTTAGATGCACCAACCAATCAGTTCTTTTAGCACCTCTTTTATCACTTTTCAAGGTGCTATCCACAGGTGGGGCATCCAAAACAAAGTGTCGTCCGATGCTGGGCATGGTTCGCTGAGGGCCCTCTTTAAGTCTTTCAATACTATCATCAACCTGTTGGACAATGTGTGCTCGTCTCTAATTGCCAACCCCGGGACCCGCCATCTCGCACGGTGTTTTGCCCCTGGCGCGCGCGTCAGAGTCACCAGGTTTCAGGCGTCTCGGAAGACTTGACGCTGTCTCAAGGCGCGACCAATAGGCGCTGGGAAACGGGCGCCTTTGGCGGAATTTCGCCGGCCTCTCATGACGCTCAGAACAAGTTCAGGTTTTTTACCACTAAAACATCTGGCCATGGCTCAAAATTCTGTACCCCCAGTAAACATCCCAATCCCCACTCACCACCTGCCGCAAAACGGGATCCCACTGGTTTTCACCGACAGCCATATCCTCCCAAGGTCTCAAGTCCAAAAGCCGCATGGGAAGCAAGCGAATGGGCCTTCCCAGAAGTGGCTGCAAAGGCCCCCGCAAAGCGAATGTTCCTCTGGGCCTGGAGTCTCCACCCGAAAAATTGGTCGCATGGGCCCATGATCCGTGCCTTGTTTAAAGGGGGACCCTTACTGAATGGTTTTCCCTTTGGTTTCCCTTCAAAACAATCAAACACGAGAGGTGTATCCATGAAAAGAAGACATGCCGGAATCGCCCAACCCCGCGTTTCGAAGGGAAAAAACTGGTTTTGGGGTTGCCACTGTCATTCTCTGCCTCTTTTGCCAGCTGACCAAGGCTACACCACCACGGCGCTCTCAGCGCCGGAGGCGGTTTCTTCGTTCCGCCAGGCGAAGGTGGCGCCCAAGGGCACCTAGCAACAACTCATGGGCCCGAGTTTCCAAGAAAACAAGTTGTTTCTTGCTACCATACCAAGGGTTGGAAAGCCTGGCAGACTATCTTGCTGGTGCTCAGTAGGGAATGAGAATGGGACGACCCGGAGAAAAACCATACTGGTGGTTTCGTGGTTGCCTTTGCTCGGAAATCCCTAAACAATTCATTCAAACGCTGGGAACGATCATTCCCTACATACTGAGCACCAAGAGTGTGAACTTGGCTGTCCGTTCTCAGATCCCCTGATAAAAGTAAACAGCTTGTGGGGTAAGTTTGAAAACCAAACACTAAACTATCTAAACACCCGGATTTTCCATAGTTACATACATTTGTGTCGCGCAAGAAACAGCTCGGGCCAACTATGTTCGCCCGATGATCCAAAAAGTAATTTGGATTTGCGCGTGTTTCTCGCGTATTTGTGCGTGTTGTGCGGGTGCTTGGGTATGTTTCCACATGTTTCTACTCGACTATATGAGAAGAGAAGCCACCGGCAACAGCCAAAAATGCTCTCATCCAAAATGCGCCCGTTCCTGTGAAAAGCGCCCGATTTGCAAACGTCTGCTACGAACGGCCCAAGGGAATGAAGGTCCAGGCAGCTAAAAAGCTAAGGGGATGGCTGGGAGCTTCTAAGTCAAAAGCACATCACATACATGTTTCTGCGTACCCCAGCATGTGGGTCAAGATTGAGCGGGGAATTTGAATGTCACTTCAGAAGAAAACCGGCAGGTTTTGTAATGGTCGTCCCCATTTTTGTGGAAAAGTGTGAAACGCAGAGTGGTCACCCCCACCTCATGATCTACATTATCTCTCTAAGACTGGAAATAAATATATGTACTTACAAGGATCCGCCAAGCCACGTGGTCGCTGAAGTGCCAATCCGCCGGGATGGCGTCTTTGGCCGCCGCCGCCAGCTGCTCGGCCGTGAAGGGCGCGCGGATGGCGCGGGGCACCAAATGCCTCGAACGTCGAACGGGGTGCTGTTTGGGTGGGGTATCCTGGTTGGGGGTTTCAACCATTGAAAAAGTAGATTCAAAATACAAACTATGATTTTGAATATCCTGGCAGCGTTTTTTGTTGGGGTTTTCTGTTGAAGGAAAACCAAAAAGGCCACCATAAGGCCAATTGGGGGGCTCCCTAATATGAGACAACCCCACTTCGATGTTCAAGCTACTCAACAGGAAGTAGGAAAACCGCGGGTTATAAGTTATAAGGGGACGAACTACTGATTACTGAAATCTCTTGTACCCTCGAAGAACCTACAAAAAAGTGGGGTGGGAAGAAAAAAACGGAGAAAAAGGAACAACAAAACAGGTGTTGCACCTGCTACTCGTCGACAACCAGGTTTTCGGTTTTCTAGATGACCATGCCTGGGGGAACCAAAACGATGCCCACCATGGGGTCCAATTCCCTGCTTGTTTCCATGTACCAGGCTTCCACTTCGGGGCTGCCCTGTGTTTGACCCAGACCTATTTCTTGATGAGCAAATGTGCTCCTGTTGGCTTTTCCTTTTGCAACCAACCCCTCTGTGCCGTTCTTTTTTGGCTGTCTTTCTGCAACCTTCCCAAAAAACGGCTAGCCCTCAACAGAAGGCGCGCCGCGCCGCCCATTTTGAGCCTCGCACCCCCCTTTTTTGCCCACACCTACTTCTTGATGAGCAAATGTGGTGTCTGTGGTGTTCCTTTTGGCTTCCTTTTTAAACCACCGCACAACAAGCGGCCAGCCCTGAACAAACGACCCGCGCGCCGATGTGGAGCCCTCACCGCCCGCCCGAGGCCCCCGAGGCCCCCGGCTCCGAGTAGAAGACGAAGTCGATGGCCCGCAGCTCCGAGCCCGGCGCGGCGAAGGTGGGGGGCCGCGCTCCGCGCAAGCCGCGCTTGCCGTGGGAGGCGTAGAGGTCCGAGAGCCGAAAGCCTTCGGCGTCCTGCCGGGTGGGTCTAGGGAAATGCTCTTCACCCACAGTGCACTGGGTCAAGGATGGTGGGTACCATCCAGAGTATCCCTATTTCTCGTTAGGTAATCCCGCCCCCACCCCCAAAAAAGTGTGAGAGTGGACAGGGGCGCTTCCCCGAACTCCCGAAAGAAACGCGGTCTTCCAAAACCCTGCTACCAGCTTGCAATGTTGCTGCAGGGAGCGTATGCTCTCCCAATTTGAAAGGTTAACCATGATGAGCAGTGAACACTCAAATGGCCATAGGTCAAAATCTCATACCCCCAGTGAACATCCCAATCCCCACTAAAATAGACTAAAATGGGCGGTGCACCTACCCTAAAATGGTGCCATTGGTTTTGACCCACAGCCAAATAGATGGTGGTGGAGAACAGCCCCTTCCTAAGATACTGTATGCGGGGTGGGTCACGGATTCGATGTTTCACTAGTGGAGCCAGGATTCGTACACCCCTGAGTCAAGGAAACCGAAAACCCGCAACACCTTTAGAGTAATGATAATTGTTTGGGCAATTGTTGGAAGCTACCTAGAGAACACAACAAACGCAAAGCAAAGATTAAACACAACACAAGCAACACAAACGCATGCCAAGCAACACAGTGAACGAATAAGATACCCAACAAACAGAAGAACACCAAACAGTCAGGGACAGTTTAGGGGCAGGCCAAGCATCAACATGCAAAGCAAACACAGGCAAAGAAAAGATCAAGCTGTGGTGTTTGTTGCTTGGTATGTTTTTGCTTGTTTCTTCTCCTTTTGCCATTTGCCCCAACAGCTGAAAGCCATGGGGGCTTTGCCCAGATAGGCTCCGGGGTGGTCCGGGGCGGCTTCACAGTAGTCCGAGGAGGGTTACGGGGATGCATGTGGTTCTGAGAAGGGTTCCGAGATGCAGGGCGGTTCCGGGTCGGAGGGTTGCGGGAATGCGCGATTCCGACTTCTGGGGATGCATGGGGCCGGTTCCGTGCGTGCAAATGCGCCTCATGCTGTTGGGGGTATCACCTCAGCTTAATAATAACTTCAATGTCTTAACTTTCATATGTTTGTGGATGTTCAGCGGTTGCCCAGTTGAGATCATAGTTCTAGGGGACAGCCACGCTCAATAAAGTAGTCCAAGGATAAATGAAGGGGAAGGAGCTGGGAAGATGTAAGAATGGGACAGGGAACCGTATGTGCCCCTTTTGAACATCACACCAACAAACCACTCACTTTGAATGCACCCAGAAGGTGATGTTTAAATCCAGGCTGGTTTGAAAGAAGCAAAAAAGGCATGGGCGATGTTCAAAACGACCAAATGGGGAAATCGAACCCTCCACAGGGCTCCGGTTCAGTGTCGCATAGAATTGGTAAGGTGGCTGGGAGCCACCCAGCTGAGATTTGTGCCACAACCGCTCCTCCGGGCGTTTGAGGCTCTGGCACACTGCGCCCGTCTCGTCCTCGTTGAAGTCCCCAGCGAAGATCAGCGCCTCAATGACTCAAGTCTCTCCGTTCGGTTCGGTTCGGATGCCGGGGCATCCGTGGGCAGCCACTCGCTCTTTTGGACCCTTCTGTGACCTCGTTTTTGAGGACACACAAAGCGAGGGAAACTTGTGTCCAACATCTAGACCCATGTCTTTCAAATGCTGCAAACCACCAGTGGTCGATGGTACCTTTACAGACGTATGGACTGCCTACCTGAATGACCACGGATATCCCCTTTCAATTGTGGCTGGGTCTTTCTTCTAGGGAAAAGAAGCGGTGCGTTTGCGGGTTCGATGGAACATTTCATGCAGCTACCGTCACAGTACTAGTAGCTCCGGTGGAAGCGTGCCTGAAATAGCACAATGTTCTCTTGAAGATACCCCTAGGCAGGTGCCATGTTAGTGGAAGGAAGGGAAGTTTCCGTCCAAGACCGACAGATGGCTCTCTCGCTGGCATCTACCGGCACCAATAGGCGAGACCTTTGACCCACTTTACAGTTCAGAGATCCTGAATATGAGCTGCACCCCTTGAAATTCAAGGACGAGTTGGGTCAGGGTTGAAGGAGCGGTTTTCTCTTTCGTTCCCCTTGAAGCCCGTACCGAAAAACGTTCCGCACAAAGTACTGGCCCGCTTAAAGTGGGCACACTTGGACGGGTTCACATTAATTTCGGCCTGGTGTCCCTTGCCAGCATCTAGAGGGTCATGTGAGTCACAATCAAAACCCGGTATTCCCAGAGCCATGCTTCAAGAATTAAGAAGGCGGAAATTTCCGCAACTATAACTCTGGCTGGGACTGACCCTAACCTTCATCTACCTGGGTTTTGAGCACGTGGCTCATGTTGAGGATGTCTTACGAAAAGGCCAAGTCATTGGGGTGTAGCCTGCCACAACACAAGGGGATGGGGCACGTACCGGAGTCACAACATCAAGGCAGAAGTACACGGCCAAGCCAGAAGAGTGTTTTTATTTACTGCGTGGATAGGCTAAAAAGAGTCCAAACTTCTTACCACTGAGACTAAAATTATATTCCCAAGAAGTGACTAAAGTCTAGGAACTCAGGGAGTGTCCATACTGAAGGGACCCAGAAACAAACAGCCAAGTCATACCGGTTTCTGCGCAAAGAACAAACCACCCATCTTCCCAAATCCATTTTGGCAACGGGTGCCAACCCCCGCGCCCCCCAACTTCAAAGTTGGATGCGCCATTTGTTGACGAAGCCCGCGGAAGAAAAAACAAAAGTAGAGAGTCCATTGGGGCTTCAGACGTCACAGCGCTCCTTGCCGACCTTTTTAGGGGGAGCCAGGGGCCAGGGGGGCGTGCGGGAAAGATCGGCGGGCGAGAGCAAATGGGTGTCCTTTTTCTTCTCGCAGAACCCGGCAACGGTTGACTTGCCAAGTTGCCGAGTCGAGGAACCCGGATTGCTGCTGGTGCCTGCGAATGGACTGCAGCGCTTTCCTGGCCATCGATTCGAGCGAGCAACGAATGTGGGTGGCTGGAGGGTCCGGTCGGGAGGTGAGAGCCGCTTGCTCAAAACTGATTCAGTAGATGGGATGTCTCAAAATAGGGTTGTCCCAAAGCTAGTGGTTTTCCTGCTGCTTTCCCTTTGAACCGACCCAAAATTGGTTCGCCACCAACAAAAAACAAACAAACACAAAAAACGGACAGTCCCAGCCAGAAACAGGTGTTTTCGATTCTTTACATGGCTTTGGACGGACTGCTTAAGTGCCAGGATTTGATTATGCCTTAGGTGTCCTTTCGGAATAAGCCTAACTGTGTCCCTCGCTCTAGTGTAACTGATCCCCCAAAGCTGAAAGTTGTTTTGTTCGCCCGGCATGTGAACTAGTCAGTTGGAAATGTGTAGTTTATTGGATGACCCCTTAGCAGATGTGCTTGGAGTGTTGTTGCTTTGGATTCCCAATACCAGGTTGTGGGATCTCTTGCTGGAATGTTGACAGGCACTGCAAATCAGCATACTGTGCCTCGTGCAGAAGCAAGGGCTTTCTTGGCTTTGTTACAGGCCACCTCCAATGAGATCAAAGCTGCTGTTGATGCTAAATATGTTTGCAAGGGCTGGTGGAACACCCAACATCCACAATGTGTGTAGAAGGATGCCTTGGCCAACCATGACCTTTGGAGGGACATTTGGGATCACAGACACAGAGATGTCAAGATTACCAAAGTTAAATCCCACCAGGAAGAAGCCGCTTTTCTGCAAGCAGAGGAAGAGGACCTTCTGTGGGCCTGGAAAGCAAATGAGGCAGCAGATGCAGTTTGCACAGCTGTTGCTGGTGACTATGCTGCTCAACATTACATCCTGGTATTGTGGATTGGATTGATAGCAGGGCTTGGAAGCTCAACAAGTTTCTGGCTGAAAGGGTGAAGCTCTGGTTGACAGTCAACTTGCCCAAGGCTGCAAAGCAGCCAAAGGTCAGAAAGGCTGATCTTTTGACTGGGGCGATTGCAAACCCTTTGAATGGTCACTGTCGGAAGCCCTTTGGAAAGGGGATAATGTGCACCAAGTGTCAGCACTGTCTTAAACCTCATCATGCCTTGGCAACCATTGAGAGTGGACTTGCTCTTGCTTGTACAGGGCTGCAGGGCATTGGAAATGTTGAGGAAGCCAAAGTGCATTTTACCCACACCCTTACTTGCATCACACCTGGCAAGAGGCAGTGTGTGCAGTGTGAAGGGCAAGGTCAGCCAGAAATTGGCTAAGCCATGCAGGCCAAGAAAGGTATAGAGGACTATGCCATGTCTTGTGTGTCAAAAATGACCCCTTAGCTGTTCTTAGATGATCCCTTAGCTGTTACTTGGGGTAGACCCGAACAAGAGCCAAGGCGATCTTGCTTCAGATATGCACCTATGATCCCCACCCCCCTTCACATTTTACACGGAACCCCAAAACGGGACCCTTCTCACATGATGCTGTGCCGGGATCGATGTTCATCTGCAAGAGGGAACATGTTCCTCTTTTCAAGCATCAGGAGTTGATCCAATGTGCATATACTTTTCATTGGCGGGCTGATTTCTACACCATACAAGACACCCTGAGCTTTCGACGTGGTCAAACGTCCCTGGGTGAAGTAAGTGAGCTTCAATACTCGGCCACATTTATTTTACTGTAACCCCCCTGCACAAGTCATTCATAAAACTGAAAACTACTCCTGCCACCGTGAAACACATGACCCCAATATAAATACACCTCCAGATTTGGTCCAGTTTAGTCTTTCCCAGGACTGTATTTGGCGGGTTGGGTTTGGTTCAGCTAACCCTGAATTGGTGTTTTGGATTGGTGGTTTGGAGATTTGAAACCCTGCTTCCTGTGGAGGGATACCACCTCCTAACCACCAAAGCCACCAGTCGACATCACCAACTAGTGGGAAGCTGATTGGTCTGTTTGGGTCACCTTCTTCGGGGGTGTAATCTAAGGGTGGAAGTGCATACCCCTTGTTCATACCCCTTGGCTTCCCTGGTTTCCAACCCACTTTATACGGGGTATATACTCCTGTTGGGGAGAGGGGTATATGCCACATCAGCAGGTAAAAGAGGTATGTGCAACTAAGTCCTCCAGTAGAGAGCTTAGAATAAGCATACCCTTTTCTCTGTTGCCTGTGGTACTAGGGGAACCCTCCCCCAAAAAAGAAAAACGGTAAAAGTTGGCACCTAGCCGGGGGACCTAGACGGATGTAAGCGGCCCGAGCGCCGCGCCTCAGCTGGGTCAGCCTGGTCGCGCCCTCGCCCGGGTGGCCTTCCAGATGACAGCTGGCCACATAGACCACCTGTCGTGCTAAGCTCCGAAATTGCTAAGGTACAGACCCCTTTTACCGTTTATCTTTTTTGGGGGAGGGTTCCCCTAGTACAACAGACTAGAGAAAAAAGTTGGTATCCTTATTCTAACCTCTCTGGAGGACTTAGTACATACCGAACCCCTTGGAATGAACCCAAAAGGCCTGCTGTGGCATATACCGATATACCCCTTATAAAGTGGGTTGGAAACCACGGAAGCCAAGGGGTATGAACAAGGGGTATGTACTTCCACCCTTAGATAAACCCAACATGGACCGGTGATTCTCTAACATAAGGAGTTATACTTCGCTTCCCCAAGACAAATATGCAACCTGAAGGAGGGTTCCTGTTGGAGGAAACTAGTCTTCCAGGGAGTCCCTATCAGGGTCCATGCGCGTTTTTGACAGGATACTCATAGTTTATTCATATAATTAGTGACACGGGGGATCTTTGCAAAACGTGACCTTTTCACATAGTTACGTGACGAACTGAAACATGGTTTTAACGACCACCATGCAAAGGTTTTAAACCATTGCAAGACCCGTCAACCATACCCCTTAAGGGTCCCCACCAAACAAGGACTAAGACGGCCAAAAAAAGGAGAGCTTCCACTATGCTTGTTGTGCTTTGATCTCTTGTCACTTTTACTGTTCAGGGCAAACACTCGGTGGGTAGCAAATTGTCCCAATTAGGACAAGCTACGTGTAGGGAAATATCTATGCTGCGCTGCCTGGTAGAAAAAGATGCGTGTTGCTTGCTCCTTGCGCGCATGCTATTGCCACGCAGATTCATTTTACTTTCTGCCCCAAAACACATCAATCCACCCCCCCCAATCTCTCGCGAGAAGGATGCCCGAGAGCTTTGTGACATTTGCCGTCTTCCTCGAGCTGCCAAATCAGCTGCTTCCTTGACCAGTCTCCATGGGGAGAAAACGATGCTCTTTCCCGAATTGACGACAATTCCCTGGCAACCTCAAGTTATGTGGCAAGGGCCTCCAGTTCTATCACACAACCTCCCTTCAAGTGAAAAGGAACAACCATTTCCAGCGCCATTCACGAAGACCTCACAAAGAGAGCACGTTCCCTTCGAGTCAACTCCCACAGCCCTGAGAAGGGCTGCAAAGGCCGGACCAGAGCACTGGAGCACTGGAGGCGCAAGGTCTCTTTTCAGCTCATGCTTGCGCAGGAGGCTGGTGATAGGCACGGCCTCCCCAGCGGCGGCCTAAGCTCTCACGAGAGGCTGCGCAGGTTGAAGTCGTCACGATGGGGACCCAGACAAATCATGGATGTCCTCTTGATGCCCCTTTACACCCACCCCAAATGGGTTCCCTTACTACAAAGACGCACCCGTGTCAGGAATCTGCCAAGGTTTCCACCTGCAAAACTACAATCCCTATCAAACTTTCAATCTTGCGAAGGCCATCCGATATCTGCAAAAACACGTGGCACACTAGCAAGAAACACGGATTCTGGTTCATGTCTGTGTCTGAATCAGGCCTTGGGTGATGGACTGTAATTCTCCAATCTGGGCTGGGAGTTTCTCAAAATGGTGCACACCCTTTTCGTAGAAACTAACCAATTTAGAGGACCCCTGTTTGGAGAGTCTCGCTTTTGCAGCCCTCGGTTGTTAACCATTTGCAGCTTGTAGGGATGGATCAACCTGTCTTGCGCCCCTTTTTGGGAGGGTCCCCCAAATTTGGATGTGAACCACCCCCCCCCCCCCCCACACATCCATATAATGTCCTCGCTTTCTCCTATTCTCCATGTCTTGATCCCGAGATAATTGCATAGCCCAACTTGGTGTAGTGTTTTCTTCACCGCTCGGTTTACCCATAATCACAAGCTGCTTCGGAATCGGTCGGTTTTCCTAGAAGCTCAAGGAAAGCACAGACAACCTCCAACCTCAAGCCCTACTTCTGCCAAGGCGCTTGCTTTCGCCACTGCACAAACTCGTGCTCCCACATGTAAAAGACTCGCAGCCCCTCCGCAGCGAACAGATCCAAACGTTCCATGGTGGCACGGTAGACCTCGGGCGCCGGCTTGCCGCCCACGCAGATGTAGGTGCTATACCTTAAGGAGGCCGAGTTTCAAGCTGATGATCCAACAAAAACAATTGAATTGCAAGCTGGCGGCCTTTGCCACAGTCTTTGACACAACATGCAGGCCTTGATGAATGCGTACTTCAATTCGCAGGAAACCATACTACCTGGCGACGTGGCAAGTATATAGGGGTGAGAAATGGTTGAACAGTCTGAAGGATGTGCCTCATAACACATAACGATATGAGAGTGGTCCTTGACAGTAAACAAACAATCAAGCTACGAGCTGCACCTGCTGCCAAGTCGCTGTGGATGATCCACGGGAAAGCCGTGGTAGTAGTTCCCCAAAAATTCAAATACCTCACGCCTTTCTGGGTGGTATGCGTCGGGCAGCACTGCACGATTTGGGATTAGACCTGCAAACTCTCTGCCAGACCACGTGCCCGAAGCCGTATCAAATCTGTGTCGGAAAATGAACCTGTGCCCCAATTCCTCCTCCAATATGTCAAAAAAGGAACTTGCTGCGCGTGACAAGTACGATGAGGACAATACATGTGCGCCAACCTCTGCCGCATGCAATGCACAGAATTGCCGAGGCTTGCCGGTAGAGTCCGGAAATGCTGCCCTCTTTCCACACACAAGGCATTTCGAATTCCGAATGTCCACCATCCCAGTTTCTTTGCAGCTGGCACAGCAAGTTGCCCGAGCATCGCCTGGCATTCCGAAAGCCGGTTGTGCCCTGCCACATCTGCATTTGCGGCTTTTTATGTCCACCATCCCAACCTCTTTGCAGCTGGCACAGCAAGTTGCCCGAGCATCGCCTGGCATTCCGAAATGTGGTATGGCCCTGCCACATCTGCATTTGCGGCTTTTTATGTCCACCATCCCAACCTCTTTGCAGCTGGCACAGCAAGTTGCCCGAGCATCGCCTGGCATTCCGAAATGTGGTACGGCCCTGCCGCATCTGCATTTGGGGCTCTTGACGTTCACCATCCCATCTTCTTTGCATGTGGCACAGCAAGTTGCCCGAGCATCGCCTTGCATTCCGAAATGTGGTATGGCCCTGCCACATCTGCATTTGGGGTGCTTAATATCTACCATCCCGTCATCTTTGCATCTGGCACAGCAAGTTGCCCGAGCATCACCTGGCATTCCGAAATGTGGTACGGCCCTGCCGCATCTGCATTTGGGGCTCTTGACGTTCACCATCCCATCTTCTTTGCATGTGGCACAGCAAGTTGCCCGAGCATCGCCTTGCATTCCGAAATGTGGTATGGCCCTGCCACATCTGCATTTGCGGCTTTTTATGTCCACCATCCCAACCTCTTTGCAGCTGGCACAGCAAGTTGCCCGAGCATCGCCTGGCATTCCGAAATGTGGTATGGCCCTGCCACATCTGCATTTGGGGCTCTTGACGTTCACCATCCCGTCATCTTTGCATCTGGCACAGCAAGTTGCCCGAGCATCGCCTGGCATTCCGAAATGTGGTACGGCCCTGCCGCATCTGCATTTGGGGCTCTTGATGTCCAGCATCCCATCTTCTTTGCAGCTGGCACAGCAAGTTGCCCGAGCATCGCCAGGCATTCCGAAAGCCGGTTGGGCTCTGCCACATCTGCATTTGCGGCTTTTTATGTCCACCATCCCAACCTCTTTGCAGCTTGCACAGCAAGTTGCACGAGCATCGTCTGGCATTCCAAAAGCAGGTATGGCCCTGCCACATCTGCATTTGGGGCTATTTATGTCCACCATCCCAACCTCTTTGCAGCTTGCACAGCAAGTTGCACGAGCATCGTCTGGCATTCCAAAAGCCGGTATGGCCCTGCCACACCTGCATTTGGGGCTCTTGATGTTCACCATCCCATCTTCTTTGCAGCTGGCACAGCAAGTTGCCCGAGCATCGCCTGGCATTCCGAAAGCCGGTTGTGCCCTGCCACATCTGCATTTGGGGCTCTTGACGTTCACCATCCCATCTTCTTTGCATCTGGCACAGCAAGTTGCCCGAGCATCGCCTGGCATTCCGAAATGTGGTACGGCCCTGCCACATCTGCATTTGGGGCTCTTGACGTTCACCATCCCATCTTCTTTGCATGTGGCACAGCAAGTTGCCCGAGCATCGCCAGGCATTCCGAAAGCCGGTTGGGCTCTGCCACATCTGCATTTGGGGCTCTTTATGTCCACCATCCCAACCTCTTTGCAGCTTGCACAGCAAGTTGCACGAGCATCGTCTGGCATTCCAAAAGTTGGTCTGGCCCTGCCACATCGGCATTTCGAATTCCGAATGTCCACCATCCCAGTTTCTTTGCAGCTGGCACAGCAAGAAGGCCTTGTGTCATGCTGAGATCCAAAAGAGGGGTAGAGCACGCGGCCGCAAACACAGGTGCCATGTCGTCGTGCCAGTTTGCCAAGGCTCGGCTTTCTGTAGGCCACGCTGCTTTTGTCAAGGAAGCTGTCGGGCATGCTGCCTCGGGCGTGGTCACGCTCTCCTTGCAAGACAGGGGACAGGAGCAGCAAGAAAGCATGTTTAACGTTCACCAGCAGTGCAACATTTTGTTAGCCTGGAGCAATTCAGCAATGCAGAATCCGTCCTCCGCCCTGCCCCCGGACACCGCCCAGCGCCACCCCTGCAAAGGGGAGCCAGACCTGCACTGGCAGGCATGGCCGCAAAGGAGCCTGGCTGAGACTGCGCTCATGGCTTGCAAACTTGGCTTTTGGTGCATGAAGTGGGCAGGGCATCGGTTTTTGGAAGAGGTCTCCGTGCTCCATGATTGTTCAAGGCCAACCTGAAACCGAATCCGCCGACCCCTCCTGCTGTTAGCCTACTCACCCCCAAGAGGGGAACGGCGTGGTTGGCAGGGCTGGGACAGGGAAACATTCCACAAAAAGGAAGGTGCTGAGCATTGACCTCTGGGGCTGGCCCTGGGGCTGGGTCTGGGGAGATTGAGGGTTCGACTCCTCCCTTGTCCATCCTAACAAAGCCTGATGTTCCAATAAATTTGTGAGGTGCGAAAAGTCGACATCTCGCACCTCCTCCCGGACACCCCGACCTGCCAGCCATTGCGACCATCCCACATCTTGATTGCTCGAATGAGCTTTTGTCGGCCGGCGTGTTAGACAGCAACATGCAAGGGGCCTGGTAAATATCAGGTGCAACACATGCGAACAGTGACAGAACCTCCGCTCCATCAACAATCCTTTTCTTCCATTGCTTGCTCCAATGAATACTGGAGCAAACCTCGTGTTGCTGACACATTGACAAGTTTTGCACAACAAGTCCCTGCAGGCTATCCACTGCCAACAGTTCTCTAGCGAATTTACATTGGCCTATCCAACCCTAACCAACCCCAGCTGCTTTCTGGGCCACCGACAGCGACGTAACCCGGATTCAAAGAGGTCAACGCATAGGCCTAGAGCGCTTCCCCAAAAAGGCAGGAACAAATGAAGCCTACTTCTTGAATACTTCAAACAGAACAACCTGGAACAAACACAGAAAACAAAGAGACCCATCGTGACAAGGGCGCTGTTTCCCCCGCCGCCCGCACTACGCCTGCCCGGCCAGTGCACGGCGGAGGCTCCGCACCAAAGCCATGGCACTTCCCACCTTTACACCCCACGCTGGGCCTGCTCCTCAAAATGGCTTCGGTTTTCCTGTTGGTTTCCCTTAAAACCCACCAAGGAAGGGGTACCCCAAAAAGACACACCCAGGTGAAATGCAGTGAGAAGGGGGCTTCGTCAAGTGAACAAAGGAACCCAAAGGCTCATCAAAAAGAAGCTATGTGAGGGCGGGGGTGTCCCGAATAGGGGGTCGGGCCTCTCTAGGGTTCTTGAGCCTCTGGGAAGAAGGCAAGGGGATTTCGTGAAAGCATCGTTTTAAAGCGATCTTTGTCCAGGTGCCAAGGATCTTTGCAGAGAGCTACCCTCCCACCAGCTAAAATGGAACCCGAAGGAAGAGTTTCTGAAAGTCAGTCTCAAGACACCCAATGTCAACTCGCCTTAATCTTTATCCATCCATTCTCGAAAGAAACACATCACAGGTGGTGGGCAAAAGAAAGAGAACCCAGAGTTGACCCACCCCAACCAACATCCAAACCACAACAAAGTTTAACGGAGACCCCGAAACAAGAAGAAAACCGCCGCTGGCTCAGGGCTCGGCGCCTGGTGGCTGGGCAGGTGCCTCAAGGCGCACAGCACCGCGCGGCTGCGGTGGTCCGTCCACAGCAGCTCCAGCTTCGAGGACTTGAAGAAGATGGCCTGAGGCGTCCAAATGAGAACTGGGCTGCCCGTTTGCAGATCCGCTAAAAGTGAGACTGAGACTCACTTTGAGTGGGTTAAGTGGAAACTACCACTAAACACTCAAACCGCTAAAAGTGGCTAACTTGGGTGAAATGGAAATCCAACCAAAGACTAAAAGGCATCAAAAGGCTAAGGAACCGGATGGCTGGGAGCCAAGAGAAGGCGCGCCCACAAGGAAGGTGAGGGGTGGTGTGCCTTTTGGGTCCCCCCCATGGAAACCAAGCGAAAAAGGAGCGTCAAAAGATAGGAAGCGCAAAAGCAAAGGTGGAGCTTCTTGTTCCCCTGTACATCAAGCTTGAAAAGGGTGCCCCAAATCGTTTGAAAGGAGGTTTGGGTGAAGGGGGGGGTGCGACTAAACTGAACAATAAAGCACAAGCAACAACATGCAGTCACAGCGATTTCCTGAGCTTGGTTTTCAGCAAGATATGTACGCTTCCACAAACACGAACATGGAAATTGGGCTGACTTCCATTCGCGCAAACTGGCGCTATTCAAGCCTCACGTAGGGTTGCTCCAATTCGACCCGATCGCCACAGGGAAGGATGGTCGGTTGGATAACGAAAAAGTGTGTTGTGGAGCAATCCTGCATACGCTTACTAGTCATTGACATGTCCCTTCAAAACCTATCAGCAACAAACTCAGCCAAACATAAGTTGCTCATTGCGCTCTTTTCTTTGGGACAAGTTCAAGTTATTACCTCCACGAGGCATCCTCTTGAACGTCTTCTTGTACCCTATAGAGACACAAACCCACATTTGACCACCCCAGCCGTTTCAAGGAACCCAAGACGTCTTGGAAACCGAAGCGCAAGGTAGTCTCTCATTTCACATAGCATGGGTGTAATTTGCAACTGGGGACCCTCTGGCGGACATCATATAGGTGGGGATTCATGTGAACCACTCTGGAGGCGGTGTTTTGAAATTTAAAGACCCGTCATATGGAGCTAGCAACGCCGAACCCCTGGCTTTTCCAAAATGGACCCTCAACAACAACAAACAATTAAACATCATCCCGTGACTATCATCCAATGAGCCAAAACGAAAGCCACACGTGTTTGAGGTCCCAAGAAAAATTCAAGCAAAACCCATATGGGTCAAAATCAAAACCCGGTATTAAAATGGTCGACCCAAAACTATGTAAAGAATTAAGAAGGCGGCCGCTGCTATTTATGTTTGGGAGTGACCCTTACTAACCGTTACTAACCTTCATCTACTAGGGTTTTGATTGCGGATGCACGAAATCCGTTCGCACCACTTTGAAACCAGGGGAAACCATTGTGGGTTGGTATTTACCGGGGAATCGAATCATTCTAGGGTTCCTTAGGCGCTGCGAACTGGAGTTCGCAACCATCACAGTATGGGCCAAACAACTTCAGGAGCTTCGTTGCCATGCCAAATCCCAGGAGAAGACTACACGTTTTTGAGGTTCCTCCAAAAATTCAAGCTAAACCCCATGTGGACCAAACAAATCCAGGGCTTCGTCCATCCCAAGTCAAAACCCAGGCAAAACTTGGATAACTTCGCGTTTTTGAGGTCCCCACCCAAACAAATCCAGCTAAACCAAAACCTCCAGGGCTTCATCTCATCTCATGTCAAAACCCAGGCACACACTTCGCGAGCTCCGGGATCTTGCCCTGGGAGTCGTCCCTGGGCGCCACGGCGCCGTAGCTGGCACCGGCCAGAAACTCGCAGAACTCCTCCTCGAAGGTGCGGCACTCCACCTCCTGCATGCCTGGCGAGACCCGCGGATGCCGCCCGTGTCCGGTTGGGAAAACGGTTTCCTCTAAAACCGGCAGGGGGGAAATAAATGATAGTCTTAAGCAAATGGCAAAAACAAATGAGACCAATTGTCCAGTAGCAGGGGAAAGTAAAAAGATACTCTTAGGTTTGGTGTTGGCTTCCCTTTAGAAACCACCAACCTTGAAAGGGTCGGTTTCTCATGTTTGGCGGGGAATTCGGTGTTTTGGGGGAGCAACTTTGTGACAGTGGATGTGTCTTACTTGACTTGGAGAAACCCCTTCCTGCCTGGCTTTTCGGGCAAGTAACATCTTAAGACACCCCATTTGTTTAGTGCGTCGCGGATCCCACCAAACCCAGGCACGAGATGTGCCCAGACTACCCGAGATTCTTCAGCGGCCATAGGGAAACAAAGGTGGCAAACTTGCTGTTGTAGTTGATCTTGGATGGACACCCCCTCCAAAAGAACGGAAAAAGGGGTGCTGCTTGAGGTCAGAGAGTTAAATAACTTCTTGCTAACAAACATGGGATTGGACATTTGGCGCCTAATCGAGAGAATGGGAGTCTGCCAACACATCAGCCAATGTTCATGATTTTTGGAAGAAGGATACCATTCTGGCTTCAGTCATGTCAAACGAATGTGTTTTTCCACCTGAGGTAGTTTCTGAGGTTCTTGCAATCAAGTTCAAGGTGTCTGGTGTCTCGCAGGTAGATCCCCTTATTTATAGGCATCTTGCATGGCCCTCGTGAAGTGAGAGGCTTTGCAACAAGTGAGTAATTGCTGCCATTGGTGTTTTCAGCCCCTGGGAGAAAAAAGGTGCAGTAGTTCTAGGTTCCCTTAAGACCAAAGGGGGGAAATAACAACTATTTATTTCAGCAAATGGACAACTGCCTGAAAGGCCTGCCGATACAAGGGTTTGCTGAATTCAGGGGCTTGCATCCAGCGGAAGCGTCCCATTTCAAAGCCACGTGGGCGCCATTTCACCCCATAACGGGGCACCCAGTCTGTCCAACCCCAAATCTATTATTGTTGAGGGATTTTTTTACTTGGGTTTGAGGCCCAACGAGCAGTGTGTAGATCTCCCATTCTTTTCAACCATCGTTCAGGATGTTGGTTCCTATGCCTGGGCAAATGTCTCAAGTCTTTTCCACCGTTCTTTCCAGGGGGCTGGTTCCATCTACTAGAATGAGGGAACGACATGTTGGGAGTTTCTGGGAGTTGGCACCATTCAAGTCTTGCTTCAAGCCATTCAAGACCTGGGCTGTCCGTTTTCAGATCTGCCCAAAGTCCCACTTTTAGTGGGGCCACACTAGGACAAGCACCCTCCACTAAATCAAAAAGCAAAAAAAAAAACTAAGGCCCGGACACCCCCACTAAATCCGCAACAGCCAAAAAATCCTACACAACCGGGCTGCCCTCAGATCCCCTGCTAAAAGTTTAACTTTTAGTGGGTTAGATGGAAACGTACTGAACACTACAGAAAGCTGAAAAGCTAAGGAACCGGATGGCTGGGAACCACCAGCCACGTCACCCGCGTCCGGCTGCCCAAGGCGCAGAAGACATCGGCGCCGATGCCGGAGATGAGGCGCTGCAGCTGCAGCTTGCGCAGGGGCCAGGCGCGCAGACTGCTGGGCACGCTGGGGTAGTAGGGCTTCTGGTCGAAGCCTGCGGGGCTGCGCCGAGGCTTTTGGCTGGGGCGATAGGCAGGGAATGAGAAATGGAATGACCCCCAGACAAACCAGCCCTTGTGGTTTCCTTTAAGGGAATCCTTCAGGCTCATTCTTTCATTCCCTGCTGAGCACCAGGCTTTGGGTTCTGGAGGTACGGAGGATATACACCGCATACAGCAACAAGGTTGGCTTCTGGTCGTACATCTCTACAACCCATGGAAGGTTGGGCGGATTTGAGGGGTTGTGGGATCTTTTACACGGAAGGGTTGCTCCAAGTCTGCCGGCAAAAGAGTAGAAACACGGCAACCTGGAAGATTGACAGCAAAGGACACCAAACAACTGCTTTGCTCTTGTGGTTGGGCCAACCCCGTCCAAATTGCCCCCAAAAGTTGGGTTGATCAGCAGGGTTGCCGACAGCCGCTACTGCTCTCAACATCTGCGAGCGCAGGGGTGTGGGATATCACTAGATCAACTGGCCTTTTCCATGGCAAGTTCTTCACCTAGGTCCTTCTGTCGTCTATTTCAGTAGGGGAACCCTCCCCAAAAAGAAAGAAGCGGTAAAAGTTGGCACCAATTGCTGGGGGACCTAGTCGCGCGGCCTGGCTTCACACGAGGTTTGAGCAACCTCCTCAATCCCACAACTCTGAGCTCACCCAAGGAGCCGGTTCCTGAGTCATGTTGACCCAAGATTCGGGGGTGCTCCCTCCAAAAGTGGTCTGAATCCAACCACTAAAAGGAATTGGACAGTCGGACACCCCCGGATCAAAACCAACCAGGGGTTTGACTTCATCCGGGAAAGTGATGAATCCCCACCAAAAGGGGACACCCCCTATTAATCAACCAGGGGTTTCACTTCATCCGGGGTTAACATCAATCAGCATGGCAAAGGTTCCCTCCTGGGAGGCTTCCATCAAGACCACTTCGCTGGGCTTGGCTCATACCATGGGGCTCGATTGGGCTCATACGTTCAGCCCCTGAACTTTGGAAAAGCTCTGTCGAATCCTGCCTTGCTTTTGACATGCTTTGGCCTGGGGATAGCTTAACCCAAACTGTCAAGACCCCGCTGTTACTTACATACGGATACGGAGATACACTTACAACAGGGTAAGACTTCTAGTAAGTGGCCCCTGGATGTTTGGGGAGCAGGGCTTCTGGTCGAAGCCTGCATGGTTGCTCCAACAACTTGGTGCTGGAGGCTTCTGGTTCTGGAGGTACGGAGGATATACGGATATACACCGCGTACAGCAACAGGGTTGGGTCGTTGCTCCAAATATTTTGGTGCTGGAGGCTTCTTGCTGGTGCGATAGGCAGGGAATGAGACAATGGCCCCCGAGAAAAAGATGCCTAACTTGGCGCTTGGCTTTGGCTTGTTCTGGATACGGAGCCCATTTGGCACGCCAAAGCTATTTTTGGGTCTTGCCCCTAATATGCACGTACAGTACCCAAACAAAAATACAATACGAAACGCACAGTGCAAAACACCCGAACGCATGAGCCAAAGTGTATTTATTCTTTTTTTCGGGGGGAGCGGGTGGTTCTTCTGAAGAACGAGGCCGCAAAACCAACAAAACTCACCTCTTTCGTCTTGCAACATGCCACACAAACGGCTGGCGGCTAAGCCATATATGTGGGGGGTTGTTCTCCAGAAGAACGTGGCCACAAAACAGGTCAACAACCCCACCTCTTGAACATTTCCCACAAACGGCTAACGTAAAACACACAAAACCTCACCCCTTTAATCTTGTAACATGCCCCACACCCTAAACCCCTAAACCCCTAAACCCCTAAACCCCCAAACCCTAAACCCCCTCAACCCTAAACCATCAACCCCCTACACCCCTAAAACCCCAACCCCCACACCCCAAACCCTAGGCCTTTCAGCAGCATGTTGAAGGACACCACACTCAGCTCCTCGCCGCTGGACGGCAGGGGCCGGCGCATGGCCTCTGCGAGGCCATGCGCCGCCGAGCCCCGCTCCAACTCCGGCGGCAAAGTCGGCGCCGGCGCCGGCGCCGGTGGTAGTGCAGCAGTGGGCGGGAGGTGGGCCTGGGGAAAAACGCAGAGGAATTCTCAAGGAAAACTCTGGAAACCCAAGGACAACTTTGGAAGGGGAGCAAACATTCAAATTTGAGCTGTTAAGTGGGGATTTCAACCACTAAACCACAATAAGCAAAAATGCAAACTGTTTCCCAACAGCAACCATGCACAGAGGAAAACCCAAGCAAACTTTGGGGAACCCTGGAAAAAGTCTGGGGAGAAACCCTGCCGGAAACCCAGAAAACTTGCGGAAAGAAAACTCAGGGATAACGTAGGGGAACCCAGAAAACCAAAGGAAACACCAAGGGAAACCCAGGGAATAAACCCAGAACACCTTGAGAAAAACCTAGAGGAAAACCCGGACAATCAGGCGAAAATCGTGGGGAAAACTCAAGACAAAACCAAGGAAAAACCGGAAAACCCAGTGTACCGGTCAGGGGGAAACCGAGCAACTCTGTGGAAAAACCAACCCGAGCAGCTGTAGCAAAACGGAAAAAAAGAAACCCTATTTGGCGTTGGCTACTGTTTGTGGCAGTGGACTCTGACCAACTTGGGTAAGCAAATTTCGGGGGAACCAACAAGCGGCCAAGATGTTGCCTGACGCAGTGGGCTTTTGTTCGCAATACGCTGGCACTTTGAAACAAGATGATGCGCCCAATGCGCCCCGAGGGCGAGGAATGGACACGGATCTTTTCTCCGATCTTTCCACAAGAACCCGCCCCCCCAATTCCACCTTCAACAGGCTTGCTCGCACAAAAACCCACCATCTCCCCTCAAGTCCTGCGTGGATTGGTCAAACAAGTCCAAGCTTTTGGTTTCTTTGAAGGCCAAAGGGAAAACCGGCATAACGTGCAGGACGTTCCAACCCTTGGAGTGGCTTGGCAAACAACTGCGTCTTTGTTGCAGCACACAAAAAATGGACAAACCTATAACCTATACAAACCTATAACCTATACAAACCTATGCAAACCTATAAACACCTAGAAACCCAAAAACAAACCTAAACACCAAAAAAGGCATGAGCGAACAACAGTTGTGCAGGAACTCAAGGAAGTGAGGCCAAGGAGCATAATCGAGGCAGAACTGGTTGCCAGGTGTTTCAGTTGAGCGCGAGCCGATAACTCAAGTGAGGGTCATTGATTACATCATCGCACAAAACACACATATGAAACAACCAAGACACTAAATAATTGCTACCAATGTATCACAATGTCGCACAAGAAACAAAAGCAAGCAAGCAAGCAAGCAAGCAAGCAAGCAAGCAAGCAAGCAAACAAGCAAGCAAGCAAGCAAGCAAGCACAAGCAAACAAACCAACCGACCAACCAAGACACCAGCAATCCAGCAATCCAGCAAGCCAGCAAGCGAGCACGCCACCAAGCCACCCAGCAAGGAAGCAAGAAAGCAAGGTCGGAAGCAAGGAAGCAACCAAGCAAGCACTGACACAGGCAAGCGAGCACGCACAGGTGCGAGCAAAAAATAAAGCCCTCTAACAAACATACAAGCCGCACAATACAGCACCAAGCAAATAATACTCCTACATCAAATAGACACCTGACACAGCTCCAAAATCAGTCAAACTTACCCAAACACAGAAACCCAACAGCAAACAACACGTTCCGTCCCGCCAGCGAACCGAGCCCGTGAACCGAACCCACGGGACCTGCCTTCAGGAAGCCGCCGACCAACGGGAGGCCCAGCGCGGCGAGGCGCCGGGTGTCCATGTCCTACCCTTGGGCTGGCTCGGGGCACCGCTTTGGGGATTGGTTTACAGGGACATTAAAGGAACATACTCTTGCCGTGTTTCGCCGGAAAGGGGAAAAACAAGTCGCTGTTGATTGGGTTGTTCCTTTCTGACTTCCCAAGTTTGCTGTTGTGGTGGTGAATTTGAATTTGGGCTCTTTGGTGGACAGAATTTGTTGGGGATCCTCAAAGGAATCTTCATGTCTGAAAAAAATGGTGTTTCGCAGAGGAGAACCCCATGACTCTTTTGGCATCACAACACCCAAGACGGGCCACACCATGTGGAGAAACCCCCACCTCGGACATGTGGATCGGTTTTTAGTTTCCAGGTGACTGCTTCGGTTGGGTCGTCAACGCAGCTGCAGAAAGGTGGTCTGCTGGTGTTTAGTGGAGGCCTGCTGACCGCTATCTTGCTTTTTGGTGGCTTTCGGCTCATCACTCCTGCTCTTGTTGGCCGCCTCGTACGGGTGACCCTCCCCCTGAAAAAAGGGACAATTCAATATACTCAAGGATTATGCCACCCGATTTGAATATTTCCATGGCGTTCCTTTTGCTCATGTTACCACTCTCATGGATCCCAGGCAGATTTGTCTTTGGCACAAGGCCTGCGCCATCGTTGAGCCAAGAGCGTGCAGGGGCACCCCTCAGAGCAACAGACCTGTTGCTCCACCAAGTGAGGTCCCTATAAGTTATATGTAGAGCTGATTTCCCACAAGCGAAACAACTTGACCGTGTTAAATGACCGGTTTCCCCGATTTCCTTTCCTGCACAACAATTAAGGAATCAACCAAACAATTCTCAGAAATCTGAGTGGAGTTGGACGTGGGTGTATATGAGCCTGTCTTTTGTTAGGGGACCCCCCCCAAATGGCTTCGGCTGTCCTGTTGGTTCCCTGCAAAACTCTCAAATAAGGGGGTACCACCCAAAAAAAGACTAGCCCCCCATAGAAGTAGGATATACAATCTCCAACTTGGCCGAACACCGTTAGGACCGAATGATCGTGGCAGGTGTTGACAAAGCCCGATTTGTCTGACACCGGGACCCAACCGGCTCCCAACATGAGGATCATGAGGGGATGTTGATTTACTTGTGCGTGAAATTTCGGGTCAAACACAAAGTGGCCAAGGCAACCAAAATGGAATACACCCCCTGCAGATGAATACGAACCTCAAGAACCATGGCTTTTGAAGCAGTCTTCTTTGGGCGACCTGCTTCTGTGGCTTTCTTTTCATCCGCAGGTATGGGAAAATCAGGGTGCCTCCCTCCTTTCCCGGGTCGACATATAGTCCCCCCCTGTCCTGCACGCGTTTTGATCGAACCTGATAGTTTCTCGTTGAACATCAAACCCAGGAATCGACGTCACCAGGTCTGGTTGCTATGCAGCAGCAAGTTGTTTGACACACCTTGCAGGGCCCGGGCCGGAGCCTGCTAAAAAATGACTTGGCTGACATTACTTCTTCAAAGCCCACGAAGTAGTAGGCTTTTTCGGAAAACAAGCGCCCATCTGACATTGATACGCTTCCCCCCGCTAACATGGCACCTGGAGGCAGAAACAATGGCCTCAGTAAGGACGTTCTTTCCGGGGTGACAAATCAAAAGGTATCCAGTTCACCATCCAATGCGTGGCCTAAACAGCAGAAATATCACATGAATCATATTATAAAGTTCCATTTGCTGAGATGAATACTTGTTTATTTTCCTCTCTTGGTTTTAAAGAGAATCTATCACTACTGGATATATTATATATGTGTAGCTTTTCCACGGGACTTGAGCAAATGGAGGTAAATATAGCTCCCCTGTTTTTCTCGTTGCTTTGGAGGTTTCTGTTCGGTCCTGTAAGACGAGTTTATTTCTGGGATGATGGCTAAGCTATGTGTAGAACTTTGTGAAGAGCCTTTAAACTCGGCAAGCTCCTTAAACGCAAAACAGGACGCCGACTCCTGAAAAGAGATGCCCATCTTGTCCCATGTTTCATCTTCCCAGGTGTAAAGGAAGTAGCCGACTGGTGTCTGGACCACTCGAAACGCGATCCCATGATCCCATGCAACTTGCTTGGGCCCGGACAGTCCAGCGGCAGTTCAACAAGTTGAACTCGGGGATCAGCAAGGACCTGGGAGCTCAGTCGGAGCCGTCTGCCTTTGAGTGCGACTCCACTGGATTGGAGTTCTTGGTCAGCATTGCCTCTGAGGTCTGGGTGCATTGGGTCTCGTGATCCTTGCAGTCCCAATGTTTCAACCCAGAGACTCCCAGAAAGCGACCCTTTCAGGCCCTCATAAGGGGAGCTAAGGCACTAGCCCCTATTCGCGCAGTCCCCGAGAAGGCCCCGGTTGGGCCTGATCAGGATTGGGGTTCAGGCCCTGTTTGGAGGGAAGGCCTTCAATCATAAACACGCAGCATGTCCATGCCTGCAATTTGAGCTCCTGATACAGAGATATGCGCCCCGAAGCCTGATAGCTCGGGTCTCTGGGCAAGGTCCACCGTCTCAAGTACAACTGGGATCATCGAAGTGAAGCTCTCAAAACGACCCTTCGAACGGTGTTCAACTTTGAATCCCCCCTGCAAACAGAAGCTTAAGAAATTGCTCTTCTCGTCCCAGTAAAAGACTCTCACGATTGTCCTTGACATCGGCAATGGGATGGATACATCTCCGATGTGCACGTTTGCGTCATACCACAAAGGGCCAAACAAGAAGCAGAAGGTTCCATGCATATGCTTGTTTACCTGCAAGGCAACATGTTTCGATGGTTGACTCTGAGAACCTCCCCCCCCCCCCAAACAAATGAGGACTTGATTCTTACCGTACACAAATGATACTTGTTACACAATTGTTTTTGTACTTGGCTCTTTACCTTTGGCTTAAAGGAAAACCACAAAAACAAAAAGGATCTGGGGGGAGTTCCCTTCACACAGAATCGAAAAGGATCACGGGCGAACTCGTCTGGGTCTCCAAGTCTGCCTCGGATCCTCCCGAAGAAAAATGCCACGTTTGGGTGATGTTCAATTTCGGGGTTGGTTTTTGTCAAAGGACAACAAGGTGGTGGGAAAACCATTGCACCCATTTTGGAGATCACCGCCGACTTTGAGACACACCCATTTGGGTGTGTCTTGTTTAGGAATCGGACCCCCAAAATGGTGTTTCCCTTCAAAGCAAAAGGACGAGCCACCCAATTCAGAGATCCCCTACGGGCGCCCGGGCAGGAGCTTGGGATAGATGCGCACCGTGAAACGCCGGTGGTCGTCCTCGCGACGAGCGACTCAGTCGGGCAGGCTAGCAGACCCGGAACCGGGCCCAGGAGGAAAAATGGCGTGTACTTTGGGCTTTGCAAGCAAAGCATACGGCTGCATCCTTTTAGTCACCCTTTTAACGTCCGAGGCGTTTGCAAACCAACATGTACCGCTGCAAATGTCTAGCTTCCTTTTGGCCCCCTAGTTGAGTCAGCTGTGTCCCTTTTGGATTGGACGTTATGGCCATTTTAGATTCCCATCCCAGGTCTAAAAGCGTTCAAGAGCATCCAATGCACAAAGATACGTATCTGATACGGCGCAGAAAAAGGACCAAACAATCATGATGGAGCCCCTTCAAGAAGCCTACATCTATTGTTGGCTTGCAATCAACAATGTGTAGCTGAGATTTCTTTGGGAGGTCGGTTCACGCTACTCTGTAAAGAGTAATCCATGTTTGTCCAAGAAAGTCAGCATCCCTTTTTGCTTCGATCAGGTCAGGGCGTTCCACATCCGTTAAACTGCAAACCTTTGCCCATTGCAGTCCCACAACTCAGAATAAAAGCAACCGAAAACGCAAACACACAACTAAAACACACGCTTCAAAATCAGTAAAGAAACAAATCAGCTGGCACATGTTCGGGGGTGAGCTTTGTTCAATCTGGACCAAACCAGGCCAAACAAAAGTATATAACGTCAACCTTGCCCACCGTGCACACCCCAAATCTTGCAAGTAGGGAACAAGTTGGAAACCCTGTACTTAACATAGAACCTGACAGGAGGCCCCAGCAAAAAGAACATGGTCTTCCAACACACCCCGAACGTCAGGTTCCATGTTGCGGGGGGGGGGGGTATATTCAACCATGCTTTGTGGTTGGTTTGCTTGCCTTGAGTTGGCATCCCACAAACATCGGCTGCCCGAGCGAATGGATGCCAAACACCCACAGACCTCCAATGGCAAAGTTCTTTGTCACTCACTTCGTTTGCCACTAAAATGGTGTCCCCGCAAAGGCAGGAGTCAGCTTTAGGTAATAGACCCCTTCCAGTGAAACAAGCATAGACATGTGCAAAATTTCGGCATTAACCGAATTCCTGAACGAGATCCCTAGGGAAAGGGGTGTGGGTCAAACATGTGCCCAAAATGGGGCCCTGGTAAATGGAAACACTGGCTGGTGGTTTGATTTTGACCCATACCCAAATGACTTTCATCAGATGGCTGTGCCTCAAGATTAATGAGCTGGGGCCAACCGCAGGATTTAGTCTTTGGTCCCATCCAAGGCCGCAATTTTGGTCTCCACCTTTTTGAGCCAACAGATCGCTTCCCATTTCCTGTAGATCTTCCTGTAACCCAACCCTTTGCAACCACGCCGCATACCTTGAAAGGCCCACCTTGAACCCAAAGGACGAGCCACCAGATCGCTTTACCCCGAAGCTCGTCGCTCGCGACTGGGTGGGCTCCTCTGAGAACTGGCCGCAGGCGTAGGAAAAGATCCCGCACTTCCGGGAATGCCCATGCCTCGTCGCGCGAACTCCAAAACCGAAAAGGAGAGACCAGGTGTCTCGGCGGCGAAATCTGCGAAGCCCTGCTACAAGTGACTAACTTTTGGCGGCTTAATACGGAAAACCCATGTGTTGGCAAAAAGTTAAAGTCCTAATATCCAAGCAAGATGCACCAAAGACGAGCATCTCCCCAACCTTACGGGGCACGAGGTAGGGGGTCCCCGATTCCACTTTATCTAGCCTTCCCCGTGAAGAAAAA